CCTTGGGTTTGGGGTTAAAGCAGTGATTTCTTGGGTTTGGGGTGAAAGCAGTGACCCCTTGGGTTTGGGGTTAAATCAGTGACCCCTTGGGTATGGGGTGAAAGCAGTGACCCCTTGGGTGTGGGGTGAAAGCTCTTAGAATGGTAGGTAGTCGAACCCACAGGTTGACCTGTGCTTCAACGTGCCACTGCCTTTCCGCAGGGTCCCTGAAAGCTGTGGTAAGACTATACCAGGCATCTATGAAAACAGGCCATAACAGGGTCATTGAAGCTCTGTAAAAAGCATAGCAGCTCTCATAGCAATCCTTACAGCCACCCTTGTAATAACCCTTATGGCAACCTGCATTTTGCAGCCTACAGCAACGACGTCCAAACTAAAACCAGCGAGCCCTGGTGACGGAAGACATGAAAAAGACCTGGAGCCCAACGAAAGCACGCCACGATGTCGTACCAAATCACAGAGAACCACATACAATATGTGCACACTATGTACAAGCACGTTTATTTACAGTTAAACTATTTTAAAAGTATACACCTATCTACATATGACATGAGTTCGGCGAGATTCGGGTTCAATAGATTATTCGTCTAGACTAGACCAGATTGCTTTTACCATTATCTTCCATTCCTGACCCCCTACCTCCACAGGACATTAGGTTGCAAAATCTAAGAACAACCCTAAACCCTAAACCCTAAACCCTAAACCCTAAACCGGTCTCGGCTCCCGGGGTCCAGGGGAAGCCTTTCGACTTTTCACTTTTGGGGCCCGTGGCCCGAAAGAAGCGGATCCCTGCAGCACTGTAGAACCTTAAAACCCCATTCAAAAGCAAATACCCAGAAAAAGCACGTTCAGAAAAAAACAAAGAACCAACCTCCGTAGCGTAAAGTGCGCCCCTTACCCTATACCCTAAATTGCCCTAAGCCCGTAGCCGCTTAACCGTCATTGCTTTGAGCCTCTGAAGCACCAAAAAAGCACCAAGGAGCTGCGATGTCCACCTTGGGGTGTAGGCTTTATCAGAATTTAGGGTCTTCGACTCTCACTCTCGCACTTTAGGTTTTAGGGTTTAGGGCTAGAAGGGTCATTGTAAGGCTTGTGGATACGGATTTGTGGGCCTTGGGCTTTCAGACTATGCGTCAAGGACCCAAGCCTCAGGGCGTATAGGGTTTAGGGCTTAGGGCTTCGGGTTTAGGGCCGTATTCTCCCGCCTGCCCTAAGCCCCTGAACCCTTCCTGCTTAAGGGAGTCAGGCCAGGGGTTGCCTCAAATCCAAGGGGTGCCCTGAGTCGGTGAAGGCATCCAAGAATGTCTGGGCCCCAGACATCAGTGCTGCCCATAGGCTCCATGGTAGTTCCTTTTTGGGATTACCTTATAGGATCCTAAATATAAGCCACAAAAAGGGAACTACTATGGAGCCTATGGGTAGGCTAGCATTAGCTGTGCTGGTTTCAAGTCAGATTTCCTGATGCGGCATAAGCTCCAAACGCCCATAAACCCATCCACCATTCCGAAAATCCTGAGGCTGTCAATGTTCGAAGATCTCCTACCCAAAACAGACTCCCGAAACCCCACAAACCGTCAACAATAACGAAACTGCAAACGCAAATCCCAAACCTGCATATCCTAAAGCGCAGCTCCCAAAACCGTACCCTAAATCCGGAAACCCTGCACCCGAAACTTCTGAACCTTCAAAGCCGAAATCCAGACGGCTGCCTGCCCGACGTTCTCAGAAGATCCCGGCATCCTCCAGCAGTAGCGCAGCGTGGAACTCGTGCCCAGGCTCCTCAGTTTGGGGTTTACAACATCGTTTACGCGCTTGGCAGGTGTATCAGCTAAGGCTTTAAGTCACGTGCAGAGATTTCTTGTCTGTTTGCGAGCGGTGTTTTGGAGTCTGTTTATTCTGTCAGCAGGTGCTATCGTGGTTTAATGACGGTGCTGTGGTGTTTGCTAAGCGTTACGAAGTTTTGTTCGGATTTGATGGGAGTGCATGTTTCCTGGTTACGGGTTTCTCAATCACGGTCTCTTTGAGAAGCCGTTGTTTGATGGTTGGTCTTCTGATGTTTCATTCCAAAACGAACCCTGAACTCCTAAATTTCCAGGCAACCCTGGACCCTAAACCTCTAAACCCTACACTCTGACTCCGGGCCATGGGTTGTTTCTTTTTCGGCACGTTGCGGAGTCTGGGGTGGCGCTTTCATGGCGTCGTAGGCCCAAAGGAGCAGATTCCAAGGAAGAGAGAGATCTTTTCCCTCCCACTTAGCAAGGACGAGCCCGTATTGCAGAGTTTGTTCAGAACTGCAGCTTGTGCACAGGCTCACATGAGTGAGGAAAGAGTTAGGGTTTAGGGTTTGGGGTCTAGGGCATCCTTGGTAAAGGTTTAGGTTGGCGCGGGATTCAAGACGCCCCTCTTTTCCCTTTGAGTGTCTGTAAAGTCCTGATTTTCTTGTGTTTCCCACCTTACTGGGGGTCCTTACAGACTCCACACAGGTTCTGCTCAGTGAAAGCCGTCCTGTTGCTTTTCTATTAAAATCCTACGAAATTGCCTTTTGCTCGGCTCCTAAACACGGCCGCACATTTAAGACGCCCATGGGATCCCATGGGCGGTTGGCACATTTCTCCAACAGAATGATCGACTCGGCACTTAAGACTTACCCAACACACCTATGCCGGGCGCGGGGCCTGCTGTACAGATTTCAGCCTGACCAGCTGATCTTATGGTAAACACCCGATTCCGGAAAAAAATCGCCATTATACACCAGAAACCTCTGTGTTTATGATTAAAGCCAAGGTACGTCTTAAATCCCGCGCCCGGCAAGGTTTATAGCCCTAGAGGCCCCAAACCCCGTAACTCCTGTGCTTCAGCCGAGGATCAAGCAGATCACGATCCTTAGGGTAGTGCCGGGGATTCCGCCAGCGGCTTCTCGCTAGAACTTATAGGCAATTATATGGGTGCCTTCAGAATTTCAGGGCTCTCTATTTCGAGTCTACCGAGGACTGAGGAACCAGAAGAATGGTACTATAGTGAACTTTCAAGCTTTCATAGATCTACGGGGCTTTTAATTTAAGGTTTCGGGGTTCAAGGCTTCAGGGGCTTCAGGGGCTTTGGGCCTTTAGGGTGGGTTCCGGGTTTAGGGTTTATTTAGGGGTTTAGGGTTTAGGCTGGGCCTTTAGGGTTCTAGTGATTCTAGTGCTGAGGAGTTCGGATCTGAGGTTCTGGGTTTGTAGCTTCGAGGTGGGGACGGGCCTCTTTTGGTGCTTGAGGTTAGGGTTGCGTATGGCGTAAGGAGTCCACTTGCGAAGGGGATGCCGAGCAGATGGAATTCGGTATCCCAAACCGTTCAAAACGCAAGCCTCGAACCCTACACTCCACACCCCACTCAAGCCTGACACACCAAGAACTAGGGATCCGACAAGCTCTTCCACAGCAGGTCCTGTCATAAACCGCCCAAGCTAAAACCATAGTGCCCCAAAGCCCTAAAGACTCAAACCTAAACAAGCACGAGTAGTGGCAGTGGTAGTGGTAGTGGTAGTAGTAGCCGTCGTCGTAGGAGAAGGATTACGTGTGGGAGTAGGAGTAGCAGTAGCAGTAGTCCAGTAGTAGCAGCAGTAGTAGTAGTAGTAGTAGTAGTAGTTGTTGTTGTTGTAGCAGCAGCAGAAACTCGAAAGTCCTACAGCCCCAAGCCCGTTAAGCCCTAAGCACCACTCCTCCTTAAACCATGAAGCCGTTCGCACCCTGCCAACAAGAAACTTCCGTTCGCTGTCGCCATGAAAGCCAATGCCCGAGGAAGTCTCGAAATCTCGGAATTCTGGGTCTGAGGTTTGGACTATGGAATTCATAGGGTTTAAGACTTGGTTTCAGGATATGGGGTTCGCGGTCTAGGGAAATTCGAGTTTTAGCGTTTGGGGAGTTCAGGTTTAGCGGGGCAGACAGAAGTCAGGTGTCACAAGGTTCGAGGCCCCGGGCGCTTCTACAGGGTTGTTGCCAACGTCAAGAAACCCAACTTAAGATACCGGTTTAGGGTTGAAGGGAGTTGCGGTTACTGGGGTTGATCGTTTCTGGCACGCCACGTCGCACCACAACATGCCACTACCGCTCAAGCCTGCCATAGCCCTGAGTTTGACCACAAAACCCCGAGCCCAGGAGCCTACAGCAACGCAGACGCATGCCTAAACCCCCGAAAGTCTGTAGAATAATGGCCCAAGACCTCTAAAAGGCTATTATTCTACATACTTTTGAGGTCTACCTTAAGAACCCCAAACCTACTTTTTTGTAGGTTCTTATCATAAACCCTAATATGGGATTTATAAGGACCCTACAAAAAAGTAGGTTTTGGGTTCTTAAGGTAGGTGATACTTCAACTGACCAGAACACCCTAAACCCTAAACCCTAAACCCTGCCTCGCAGGACCCCGAAGTCCCACAGGCTTCTGCTTTTCGGAGCAACAAGGCCCTGTCCTTACCACCCATAGGCCCCATAGTCGTTCCTTTTTGGGGGTTTTAGGGTTTTAGGGATTTTAGGGTTTTTGGGGTTTAGGGTTTTTTGGGTGTTAGGGTTTTTAGGGTTTTAGGGTTTTAGGGTTCATATTTAGAATCCTACAAGGTAATCCCCAAAAGGAACTACTATGGGGCCTATGGGCAAACCCTTCTTCACTCTTTGCACGGAGTACAGGCCACCAAAAAGGGTCTTCATCCCAGTGCCACCCAAAGCATTCCCAGGTTCATCCCACATGACCCCAAACTGGTTTTAGGGTTTAGGGTTTAGGGCAGTCCAGTAGCTTCATGAGCGTATACATAGGGGCAACACGCCGTGCGGTAATTTAATGCAGGGAGAGGGAAGGAGGGAGAGAGAGAGGGAGAGACGGCCCAAAACCAGGGTTGAGCGTGCAGAGCGGGGTATCTGGGGGTATTCATTGCAAACAATGCAAAACGCTTGCACCTGTCCCGCACAGCGAACGTTTGCATTCTCGTTGTACATATCATTGGAACTCTGCCTGTCTCTCCTCTTCTACCATTTCTACCTCCCCTCTTCTCGCTCGCGCAGGAACCGTTCAGGAAAGCTATAGTTTGTGGACAGCGACAGCACTAATGTTCTTGACAAGCACGTACCCACGCCGCTTTGCCCCGAGACTTACCGGACATGCAGCCCTGCAAGCAAGCGCCGGTGGCTCTCAAATGTGGCACGGCTCTCCCTAAACCCTAAAGCCTACTTCAGGACTCCAAGTTTCTTCCGATTGCACTTTCCGTGCACGCGAAAGGTAGGCACGGGAGGGAGTCGCGGCATGCGCGCTCGACGAGGTAGTCGGCCACTACAGCGCTGCGATCGCATTCCGTTTGCTGCTGGAGTTTTGGGTTTAGGGTGCAGGGCCCGCCGTCTGGGCTTTAGATGATCTTGGCTAAGGTGCGTCGGTTTCTGGATGTAGAACATGCCCAAAGCCCTGTCCGAAACCTGTTTCGAAGAAAGCTTATGGTAATCCTTCTAGGACCCTTTAAAGGAGCCCTTAAGCGTGACCTTGTTCTACTTGTTGAGGCCCCTATATCATAGAACCCTGACACTTTTGGCACCTCTTAGAAGCACAGTTGAACGGAAGCCTACTCTAGTTATTCAACACTGCAAGCAACCATTAACGGGACTCCTTAAAGCTGCCCTCAAGCGGAACCCTATCTCGATTGCTAGGATATCATGGAACCCTGAAAGTAAGACGTATAGGACCCCCTTCAAGGTGCCCTTAAACGGAACCAAATATTTTCTAATTTTCCTAGCTATCACGGCCCCTGTATCATGGAACCCTAACGCTTATAGCACCCCTTACCGGTGTTCTAACTATTCAGACCCCTAAATGATAGAATACTGTTGCAAGTAACTCTTATAGGACACGCTGAAGGTACAGAACGGAACCTTTAAACGGAACCCTGTTACACTTACTAAGACCCCTATATCATGTAACCCTGAAAGTAACCCTTGTAGGACCCCTTAAAGGTGCGCTTAAACGGAACCAAATATTTTCAATATTGATAATTACTAAGGCCCTGTATCACAGAACCCTTATGGCACGCCTTACAGGCATCCTTAAACAGAGCCGTCTTCTAATCACCCAGACCTCTACATAATAGAACACTGAAAGTAACCCTATCGGACCCGTTGAAGGTGAAGAACGGTACCCTTAAACGGAACACTAAGACCCCTATATCATGGAACCCTGAACGCTTGTAGGACTCTGTAAAGGTGCCTTAGACGGAACCAGATCTTTTCATTTTACTAGTGATTAAGGCCCCTTGCATAAAGCACGGGTTCTGTGGCTTGTAACAACTGTATAATTAGCGGGTTTCACAATGGTGTCAAGGACATGTTCGTAGTGGTTTCTCCTCACCCTACGAACCGAACCCCAGTCCTATATAAAAACCCCTTTTTTTCGAAGCCCTGAACCCTAAAGCTGTCAGATCCCGTGGACAGCTCAGAACTCGGGTACTTCACGGTGTGGACTCTCGAACCTCGGACCTTCCAGGGCTGTAGAAACCGCTGTATTCATGGAAGGGCATCCCTCTGCATGCAAGCGCAGATCTACGATGCTGAACCGTCCAACCTCAAACTCCCCATGACTGCTCAGAGTATTCTCGCACTCAAACCTCGGGGGTGCTTTGCAGATCTGGCCTTTGGGGGCCTTACCAGAAGCAACACAAAAGCAATGCACTGACCGTGTTCTGCTGCAGTCACGTGCGTATCTGAACTCACACATGCTCTTTCAATGGGGTCTGCAAGAGGATGTACAAAGCTTGTAGCATCAACGGGATGGGCATTTGCAAGCAGCCGGCTGCCATGAAGTCCTTTCCTCAGACAATGGAACCGATCCCTGCAACCCAGACTATAGTCGTGATCAGCGTTGTATATGGGACGTCTGGCAAACCGTGAATTGAACCCTGCTTAAACGCCCTCTAACCCTCATCACGTGCGCCCCTAAACCCTAAACCCTAATCTCTATACCCACAGGCGCCATAGTTCCTTTTTGGGATCACCTTATAGCATTCTAGATATGAACCCCAACAAGGAACTACTATGGGGCCCATGGGTAAACCCTAAACCCTCAACCTAAGCCCTAAACCCTAAACCCTAAGCCCTAAAAACCCCAGACTCTTCCGAGAGGCAGTGGTTCCCTTCCGCAAAGAGGCCCCGGGCCTTCTCACCGAGCCTGTGTAGGGATTTAGGGTTTTAGGGATTTCGGGTTTAGGGAGTTAGGGTTTAGGGGGATTTAGGGCTTAAGGGTTTAGGGTGTAGGGGTTAGGGTTTAGGGATTTAGGGTTTAGGGATTTAGGGCTTAAGGGATTTAGGGCTTAAGGGTTTAGGGCTTTAGGGTTAAAGGGTTTAGGGATTTAGGGGTTTAGGGATTTAGGGTTTAGGGAGTTAGGGTTTAGGGATTTAGGGCTTCAGGGTTTAGGGTGTAGGGATTAGGGTTCAAGGGATCTAGACGGATTCCCTTTAACGGGATCGATAAGTTTGGGGTTTATAGGGTTTAGGAATTTAGAGTCTCGGGTTTTGGGGGTTTACAGGGTTTCGGGCTTAGGGTGTTAGGGTATAGGGCTTGGGACTTTGAGGGTTTAGGGCGTAAGGCTTCGGGTGTAGACGGGTTTAGGGTTGAGGGCGGAGAGATGAGTAAAATCGAAACCAGCATGGCAAAAGAAATGCTAGCGGCAGCAGTCATGGTGGACAAGAGATCAACGAAGTGTTATAACAGCTGTTATAACACAACACGAAGTAGCTACAAGGCCGGGCCATGCCTAGGAACGGATGACAGGCTCTTGTGAAATTTTCAGAACGCCGGAGGCCCAAGTAGAGATTCTTCTTCCAAGGACCCCTTCAGCTGAAGTGTTGTAGGGTAGATAAGGTACCCCTAACCCTAGAACTCCACCCATGGCTTCAAGCGACAGAGCAGTGCCTTTCGGCTAAAGCAGCGCGGAATTTGGCAAGATAGGGAAGGTCTTTGAAAGCCTTCACCTGGGATTCGGGTGTAGGATGGTTTAGGATGGTTAGGGTTTAGGGTATAGGGTTCAGGGATTTTTGAGGGTCCATGTTCTATCTGCAAGCTCTGCCTCAGGCTCTTGTACGAGGGTTTCAGTCGAGGCTATGGCAGAGGATGTCGTTTGCTGCTTATGCAAACAGAAGCAAAGCGAGATTAACTGATTATATTACGTCGTGAAAACAAATAAACACATGTAAGTATGTGCAATGTGTGAGTGTATTTGATTTGTGAAATATGCAGAGGTGCCACTGCATAGGACACACATCGCACACGACAGGAACTCGGCGAACCAGCGAATGGATTGCAACTGGTGTCGGCAATACCCCTGCGTGAGCTTTCAACAGAACAATCTCGTCGAAGCCTGAGCACTTTAGATGATGGTCGTCAAAACCAACTATTTGTGTAACCCTCTATGCCACACCCCTTACACTGCCGCCACCCCCCTTGGGCAAGTGTATCATCGTGCAGTCTGAGGCGCGCTGTACCTTGGCATGCCGCAGGACAGTGCTTGCAACGTCTGGCAAAGCCTTGGGGCCTCTACATACCATTGCTGCAGTGATGTCTCTCCAACTCAGGCATAAAGCAGGACAATCCATCATGTACGAGTCTCCTCCTGGTTCCATGTCTGTCTGTTTCTCTACTGAAAAAAAGACGTATGCATGCTTTCCTTCCGCACTGCCGACAAACATCTCCAGCCTTGCGCGAGAGATCAGGCAAGGGGCTGCTTGAAATCCTCAGCTGTCTCTAGGGTACTGCCCCCATACAGTAGCAGTTTATTATAGTAGGGCTACTATCAAGGGCCTAATATCCACAATGTGGGTATTATCCAACTGTTACTGAGTGGGAGCAGTACCCAAGCTGTCTCTGACGTCTAGGAAAGCGGCCATGAACCGAAGACTTGTTTCGGAGACTAAGGCTTTGGATCCCGGGCATACGCGTCAGAAAGTGTAACGGAAGGTCCGGTACCACTGGCTTTCAGCTAGGCCTGAACCAGTCAAAGCACCTACAGCCTCGCGACGAAACCTAATTCTCCTCAGCCGGTGCTGGCTCCCTAGAGGGCCTAACGAAACCTAAGCCCCAGTTCCGACAATGTTAGTCGGATATGGGAGTTTCCGAAAACAAGGGGCGCCGTATTTGGGGGTCCTTATAATAATAAGGATCTTACTATTTAAACTACTATACGGGTCCCCTATTTTCGGAAACCCCCATGTAGTTCGAAGCTCCCCAACACTGCCTCCAAAGTCAACCCACGGACCCAAACCCAGACGCCCAGAACCTCAAAATCCAAACCCCTATAAGTCCTAGAACCCCCAGAACCTCAAAACCCAAACCCCAATGTCCTAGAACCCTGAATCCCAAACCCTGATACCTATACCCCTACTCTGGAAACACTAATGTGTTACCCTAAGGCTGTAAGGACTCATAATTTAAGGCTTTTTGGGCGCAAAGACCACACTATGTAAAGCTTTTGGGTTATTTTGAATCTTAGGGTACACCCTAAACCCTAAACCCGTGACCTCAACTTCTGTGCCACTCTCCCCCGCCCCGCCGGCCTCAGAGGGTGTTGCCGCCTCCTCACCGAAGACCAAGTTGTGGCGGGCTCCTGGTGTAGGGTTTAGGTTTTAGGATCTTCTGTTGTCCTGCTTCTCACCTTTTGCGGCTTCCATGTCCCCAGAAAAGGCTTTGGGGGTGTCTTGTTGTGGGCTTCCGGGTTTCTCTTGCTCTTGGGGCCTTGCGGGTTTAGGGTCGAGGCTTCCGTGCTTGCTCTGTTTGGGGTCTTGGGGTCGAGCTACGGGCTTAAAGCTCCGAGACGAGCTTCAGGGCTTTCCTGCAACCGAAACAACCTACCTTTTTGAGGGTTCCTTATTGTGGTTTCTTGGAAGAGGTAGGCCTTTTCGGTTACCAGCCCTAAACCCTACAGCCCTGTCGTGTACGAGGTAGCTCCAGGTTTCTTAATCAGGTTTTTTCTTATCAAATGCAAAACCTGCCCTGAACCGCTATACACAACACACCCCACCAAACCCTAAACATAAAGCAACCCCCTTACATCCTAAACCCACTGCAGCAAAGCCGGAACCCTCAAAACCCTCAAGGCCCTAAACCTGCAACCGCACTACCCGGAAGCCGAGGCTCTCTTCGTGAGTGTCCGGCCGCGGCGCGCATCCCAGTACTGGGAGTCGTAGCTGAGATCCTTTTGTTTTGTAAGGTTTGGGGCTGTGCTGGTGCGGTCGGTTTTTGCTGTTAGGTCCGTGTCGTTGTGCTTGCGTTGCAGCGCTTATTTTGCATGAGGACTTTTGCGTTGCAACCCTAAACCTTACGCCCCCCCCCCCCCCGAACCGTCTTGTTTTTGTGTATGCCTTGTTTCAGGGATGTGGAGAGGCTTGCGGCTTCAAGGGGCTCCGTTGCCGTTTTCATGAGGCGGTTGTTGGTTTTGAGGGTTTCGGGTTCAACCGAGGGGTTTAGGGCTTAGGGTTCAGGGTTTGGGGTTCAACCGGTTTTTCGGGCTTCTGGATTGACCCAGAAACCCCAACTCCCAAGAAACAGGACCAGCCTTCATCGTTCTTGAGGCTCCCATGTTCACTCCCACGAGCACCCTATGCGAAAGCCGAGAAAGTCCACCCTAAACCCCAAACCCTAAACCCAGGTCCTCGTTCCCTTCCGGACGACACAAGATCAGCTTCGAGGTTCAGAGTTTAGGGTTGGGGCTCCAGCTTCTAACCCGCTTTGGCTTTTAGGGTTTAGGGTAGGTGCTTACCGTAGCTACCAATGAGGCTCCTAGGGGTTAAGGCTATGATGCGGGAAGCACGAACCCTGAATGTTCCGCATCAAACAGATTCGCCACCTCAGGACAATCGTAAGAGGGTTTTTAAAGCCAAAACCCCTAAGCCCTAAACCCTAACATCCCTAAATCGCTCTGGTTTTTAAAAACCAGTTTCCTGCAAAACTATTTTCCCACCCGCCCAGCTGACAAAACTAGTAGGGTTTAGGGTTTAAGGCCTAGGGTTCATAAACCCTCAAACCGCCACACCCTTGAGGTTTAGGGCTTTAGGGGTTTGAGCTCAAAGCACCAACCTTGGGGAGACCCCCGTTGTCCGACCTCCTGCTCGCGAAGCAAGCATGCAGCTGCATTCTCATCTCGGAGAAGCACCTTGGGCACAGGGTTTAGGGTTTAGGGGTTTAGGGTTTAGAGATTCTTTCCAGGCATAGGTTCTAAGGTTTTGAGCTTTGAACTTCTGGCTTCAAGATGGTTTTAGGCTGCGCTATGGGCGCATCTCGATTGGTCCCACAAACCTGCATGGAAATTCACCGGTCTCTGTTAAGGAGAGGCAAAGCCAGAAACTCCAGTGCAGTCGACAAGGCGGATGCCCCGTTGCGGATCACGAGCGTGGCCGCCTCGTTGTCCTGGCATACCGTCATACCCTTGTAGACCTATACTATGCATACTTACAGTACAAGCAGCAGTATCTCCTTATATGATAGTGTACCCCAAAACCTATGCCAATTATTAAGACGCCTCTACTCGCGGGCCCAACCGTGCACTGCAGGCCATGACCCCTTACTCAACTGGCAGGAAACCCTGAGCCCCACACCTTACACCATTAACTGTCCCTCCCTTAAAGGCTAGAGCCCTAAACCTAAACCCTAAACTCTAAATCCGAACCCTAAACCCTCTAACCCTAAACCCTCCCTTAAAGGAACCCCATAAACCCTAAAACCCTAGAGCCCTAAACCCAAACTCTAAACTCTAAGCCCGAACCCTAAACCCTCTAACCCTAAACCCTCCCTGAAAGGAACCCCATAAACCCTAAAACCCTAGAGCCCTAAACCCAAAACCTGGACTCTAAGCCCCAACCCTAACCCTCTAACCCTAAACCCTAAACCCTAAACCCTCTAACCCTAAACCCTAAACCCTCCCTTAAAGGAACCCCCATGAGAGCCAGGCTCAGGGGAACCCGGAGCCTTGCGCAGCTTCTTTGGGAGCTCCTCACTGAGGACTACGAACTCCTGAGGCTCCGGTGGCGAGGCTCTTAGACCGCTTTAAAGTTTAGGGTTCAGGGTTCAGAGTTCAGGGTTTAGGGTTTAGGGTTTAGGGTTTCGGGGTTCAGGGTTCAGGGTTCAGGGTTTAGGGTTCAGATTCAGGGTTCAGGGTTTAGGGTTCAGGGTTTGGGGTTTGGGGTTTAGGGTTTAGGGTTTAGGGTTTAGGATTTAGGATTTTAGCATTTAAGGGTTCCTTTGAGGGATTTTTCAGGTTTAGGGTTGTAGGGTTTAGGGTTCCAAGATGAGCTCTTCGGGCTTCCGTGGCCCTAGTCGGGGCTTGGGGCTCAAGGCTTTAAGTGGCTTAGGGCATTTTGGTTTCTGGCTTGGGGCTCAAGGCTTTAAAGAGACCCCCCCAAAACTCGTGCAAGTACGGGAAGAAAACTGAATAACTTGTGATAGGAATACTTGAGAATGTGTCCTTACCGGTCTCGGTTGCAAACAAAAGCTGAACTCTCCCTGGGCGATTGATGCCCAGCCGTCAGAGACACTAATGATGCTGCACGCTACGCCGCAACTCCATTCCAAACAACCAGATTCCTCAGTTTAGGGTTTTGGGTTTAGGGTTTAAACGGATGCAACTAACAGTCAGTGTTGGTAAACACCCGCGGCAGAAGATGCAGAAGCCGGAAATAGTGGCAGTGCCCCCCCTCACAACAGCAGCAGCGACAACGACAAAGGTACAACACATGTCGCCTTTAACAGGAAAACTCTCGAAATGGGGCTGCAAACCCTGCACATCTAGCTTTTTTAATGCTTCTCGCTCGATGCAAAACTCGGACAATCTAGGGTTAGGCAACACGACATCGCTCTGTACCTCGACCTGACCGGCGCCCACAACACGGTAACGCCTACGATCGGCCAGGAGCCGGGACATCTGTTGCTCGGAAAGAGATTTGCCGGAAGGGAAGCCATATTTGAGACCGAAATCTACAAGCCCTGATTAAAGACTATATGGTTTGGCTGTCTTAGGAGATCAATAAGCAATCCTCGATAAACCAGTCGCGCGCTGCGAACTGATAAAAAGCCCCAGGCCAACAAATTCCCGCAATACTGATCCTTAAGTCTTGAAACCCTGCACTCCAAGTACTTTCAACTTTTTTCAAAGCCCCCAAACCGCCCCGACTCAAAATCCCGAAAGCGTCAAAGTAGATCCCTCACACACGGGTTTGGGAGTATGCGGCTATAGTACAGTTATCGAGGGACCATAAGGGGATTTCACTCCGCGCCTCTCAGACCTCTGCAGTAGGATTAAAATCCACAATAAAGTATTACATGTACTTATACCTTGAGTTTGTACTATGACTATGAGATAAATTTAACATCATTCCTTTCGGGTACGATGTAGCAACTACCCATAGGCCCCATAGTAGTTCCTTTTGGGGATTACCTTATAGGATTCTAAATATGAACCCCAAGAAGGAACTACTATGGTGTTTATGGGTAGAGGAAGCCTTCCTCTCCGCCAGGGCTCCGTCTCGACGCCCTCTTTGGTCAGCTTTTCGGCAAGCAGGCGGAGCTCAGGCACCGTAAAGCCGGAGCTTCGCCTCTCATTTCGGGGCAAGTTACCCATAGGCCCCATAGTAGTTCCTTTTTGGGATTACCTTATAGGATTCTAAATATGAACCCCGATAAGGAACTACTATGGGGCCTATGGGTAGTTAGAGGTTCAAGCTGTCAAAAGGCCGGGGCTCAGGAAAAGGCTTAGGGGTCTCAACGGTCGATGGGGTGCAGAGAAGTTCCCAGATTCTTCGAACGTTGCAGCACCGGTTTTTGCATGATTTTGCCGGGATCTCGCGGTTCACAAACGGACCGAGGCAACTTTGGGGTGCCGCCTTATTTTAGGGTTATATTGCAAGAAGATGTTGCGCTCAGTAGGATGAACATGAGTACTGTTATTCTGATCCTCATGATTGACTGCTCGCATTATATTGACAGGCTTTCGTAGTTTTGCATTTAAGGTTAGAGGCGGCGTTGCAGCTGGTTGTTGTACGAAGGCCTGGTGTTCAACATCCACTCTCGGAATCCTGCAGACAGGGCGCAAGGTCTACCAACAAAGCCAGGGCTAGGTCTGCTAAATCTGACCTCTTCGAGGGTATAAGGGTTTAGGGTTTAGGGTATTAGGGTTTAGGGTATAAGGGTTTAGGGTATTAGGGTGTAGGGTATTGGGGTTTAGGGTTTAGGGTTTAGGGTATTAGGGTATTAGGGTTTAGGGTTTAGGGTGCCAGATATAGCTGGATCCCCCCGG